AGAGAGAGAGAAAGAGAGAGAGAGAGAGAGAGAGAGAGTGAGAGTGTAAGAGTGTGTGTGCGCATGCATTAGGTCTCACCACTTTATATTTTTGTTCTGCATTTACGGCTGATTATATTTGCCAAATTCTATACAAATGCCTTCTGTGACAGTCATACCTGTGTGTGTGTGTGTGTGTGAGAATGAGAGACAGAGAGAGAGAGAGAGAGAGAGAGAGAGTGAGAGTGAGAGTGTGTGTGTGTGTGTGAGTGAGAGAGAGAGAGAGAGAGAGTGTGTGTGTGTGTGTGTGTGTGAGAGCATGTCTTTTCTACATTGGATTTGTGCTCTAGTACCAGGCTTTTATTTCGGTGTGAAAATTTTCAGATTTATTGCCGGATTTATTGATTTTTTTTGACAAATGAAAATCGCATTTCCCATTAATTTCAATGTGGGGTCATATTGACCCCAAAGACAAGATTTGTAAACTTTTTTTTTTACATACCTTCAGAACAACCAAATCAAGCCCATTTTTTAAATGTGAATATAGATAGATAATGTAGAAAAGTCACAAAATCTTATTCCGCTGAGATGAAGGGAACCATTTTTTTTAACTAAGGAAAAGTTGAATGGGGTCATATTGACCCCAAAGACAGATTGAAGGTTAAATAAATGTGGGCTACATTGTGACACTCAGACACACACCTTACTGTCTTTATGTTACAGTTGCGAGTGACGATCCTGTGGATTTCCTGAGCCCCAGCGTCAGTTATACTATTGCCACTGAAACTGAGATCAAACAAATCGGGAATGTAAGAACTATCACATTATACTTGATAAATGTACACTTTGAGTTTCTTCAGTCACTCACTCAATGTTTTGAGCTTTGTGGAGGTTTGGGAGCAGCAGATCCAGGCTGTGATCGGTGAGATGGCACTGACTCAGATCCAGTTCTGTCAGTCCTTCAGAATATTCCAGAATCAGCTCCAGACCTCTACAGACCTGCAGATCCAGCTGAGTCTGACTGAGATCCAGCTCTTCACCCAGAGCTCCAGAGAGAGACTGAGCTTCCTCAGGCCTCACATGAGCCAGAAACTGAAGCAGCAGAGGTTTATCACAGCTGAAAGACAGAGAACAAGAGATGCTTTATATATACTGAATTAGGGGTCGACCGATTATCGGTCTGGCCTATATTAAGCATTTTTATGATTATCGGTATCGGCCATTTTCAAAACCGATTCGCCGATAAAATAACTTAATTTTGAAATGCGCTATTTGGCTCTGATGCAGCCTGTCAAAACTCACCACTCTGTGGCTTAAAGCAATCTCCGCCCACCGCTCATCTGATTTGTTGGGAGTCACAAGTCAGACCAATCAATGGGAAATTCATTCACTCCTAAAGCGCTTGCTAACTGGAGCTGCTTCAGTGATCACGCGTCAGTTGTCTCTCAAAGGTAAGGCAGCAGCAGACGTTGCTTAATTTGCAATAAAT